TGCGGAGTCCGACTACATACAGAGCTGTAGCCAACAGACATAACCGCCATTTTGGATCCTCCCTTCTCCGACAACATAAATCAAATAAAAACATCTACTGGAGAAAAAAATAAAAATAATAATAATCAACACTTTGTTGTTTGCGAAACTCAAATATACACAACTTAATAAACTCTAAAACATATACACGACATTTACATTTATCATCACCTCCTCACAGAAAATCAGAAAAACTAAAAACTAAAACGGTTGAATGGATCCGCGGTAGTACTAGGTTCAAAGAAGGAGACGTTTGGAGAACACTGAACTCTGAGCTCCCAACACACACACACACGTTCATACGCACACAAACACACTGTAGTGTACACAGACGTGTGCGCGTACAGAGCATTACGCAACCCCACCCCGACACACACACACGGAGCTGCTAAGAGACTAATTGCAATTATGTTAGTAAATCCCTTCAGAGCTCAAATAAATGTATTGTTTCAGTACGGACAAACAAGACTGGATTGGACTGAGAGGAGGTAGTAGTAGTAGTAGTAATGGTAGTAATGGTAGTAGTAGTAGTAATGGTAGTAGTAGTAGGTTAGTAGAAGTAAGCAGCGAGTTTTGTTTTAGTAGTCGTAGCAGTAGGTAGTAGTAGGCATTAGTTAGTCGTAGTTAGTAGTAGTCGTAGTAGTAGTAGTAGTAAGCAGTCGTAGTAGCAGTGGGTATGTAGTCGTAGTCGTAGTAGTAGTGCAGTAGTAGTTAGGTAGTAGCCAGTAGTTAGTAGTCGTAGCACTTAGTAGTAGTGGTAGCATTAGTAGTAGCATTAGTTATTAGTAGCATTAGTCGTCGTCAGCATTAGTCAGTAGTAGCATTAGCTAGTAGTAGTAACAGCAGTAGTAGCGAGTAGTAGGTAGTAGTGGTAGTTAGTAGCAGTAGTAGTAGTATCACATTTACATTTTAGTCATTTCAGCAGGACGCACTCTTCATCCCAGAGCGACTTACAGTTAGTGAGTGCATACATTTTTCATACTGGCCCCCCGTGGGAAACGAACCCACAACCCTGGCGTTGCAAGTGCCATGCTCTACCAACTGAGCCACACGGGGATCCACAGAGTACTAGTATTATTGGAGAGAAAACAGAGAGAGAGCAAGAGCAGAGGAAGAAGTGAGGAAGAGGAGGAGAACGTCGAGGAAGAGGGAAAGCATCCGCTCGATGACATGGAGTTAAATGTAGATATTGTTCTTAGAGAAACGAATGGAAATCATTCTGTAGATACTATACTGTATCCACAATAAAAGTATAGGTAGGTGTAATTTGCCAGAAGATACCGACCCTGCTGTGGCTACTGCTAGCTAGCATGAGGACGAAAAAAGTCAGTTTTCCAGGGAAAATGAGGACTATTTGAATCTTCTCGATGGACCGGTGTGATGTGGAGTAGAGTTGTGTACAGGGCCATGAAAAAGTATTTGCCCCCTTTCTGATTTTCTCTATTTTTGCATATTCTTGATACCGAATGTTATCAGATCTTCAACTAAAACCTAATATTAGATAAAGGGAACCTGAGTTTACAAATACCCCCCCCCAAAAAAAAATTTATACTTATTTTATTAATTTAACAAAGTTATGCAACACCCAATTCCCCTGTGTGAAAAAGGTAATTGCCCCCCTTACACTCAATAACTGGTTGTGCCACCTTTAGCTGCAATGACTGCAACCAAATGCTTCCTGTTGTTGATCAGTCTCTCGCATCGCTGTGGAGGAATTTGAACTGCTCGTTTCAAGTCCTGCCACAACATCTCAATTGGGATTAGGTCTGGACTTTGACTAGGCCATTGCAAAACTAAAAATGTGTTGCTTTTTAACCATTTTCATGTAGACTTGATTGTGTGTTTTGGATCATTGTCTTGCTGCATGACCCAGCTGCGCTTCAGCTTCAGCTCACAGACGGATGGTCTGACATTCTCCTGTAGAATTCTCTGATACAGAGCAGAGTTCATGGTTCCTTCTCTTAAGGCAAGTCTACCTTGGGAGTATATGTCTAGTGTCTTTTATAGTCTTAAAATAACAGGAGAGAAGACCAAGTATTGTGGGTGAGGTACAATATTAAGATACAGCTCTGCCTCAGCTGCCTGCCATGATTGTCCAAAGTATAACGGAATTTTCATTAAAAAGCAATGATTTCAAATTAACTTCCTGCTTTGAAGGATCTACTTCCTGAGTCAGAAACAAGCCTAATAGAACCTTATCTCTAAACTCCAGCCCAGACAGACAAGGTGGAAACAGATATTAAATACAGGGAAACACAGAGTGTGTTGAGCAGTGTTGGAATTAGTTTGAACAAAAGTAAGGTATTACTTAAGCAATAAGGCACGATATATCGCCAATATACCACGGCTAAGGGCTGTTCTTAAGCCCGACGCAACGCGGAGTGTCTGGATACAGCCCTTATTGGCTATATATCACAAACCCACAAGGTGCCTTATTGCTATTATAAACTGGTTACCAACGTAATTAGAGCAGTAAAAATAAACGTTTTGTCATAAGCGTGGTATACGGTCTGATATACCACGGCCGTCAGCCAATCAGCATTCAGGGCTCGAACCACCCAGTTTATAATTTACATTATACCAAAGCGTTGTTGAATACTCGTTTCTGATTGGCTAGAAGGGCATTCTAGAAGGGACAGTTGGAAAATATATCGGGACGCCTTGCAATCATGACGCAATATGCATCTACACATGCAGACCTTACTTGCTACAAAGTTACAGAAAGCTAAACCAACAACCACACAAACCAAAATTGGATACATTGTAAAACGCAGGTCCAACAAAGAAAAAACGTATCTAGCTAGCAATTGATTTGTTTTTGCTGAGAATTGTTTTTGGAGCATCTGATGACCTAACGTGTTGTATGATGAACATTAATTTCTCCGGTCCCTACAGTAGCCGTGATGCAAGTGGCGCTATGCTTTCAAATCCTCCCACATGAAATGTTGAGTTTGTCCAGCTGTTTTCAGCAACTGATAAGTTTGAATTCGGTTGTCATATTGGCAGGTTTGCTAGCAACAAACTATTTAGCTAGCTTCTAGCCTAGCGTTAGAGTATGATATGCAATGTGACCTCCTCGTAATGACGAGTGTCCTGACGAGCAAGCACTATGCCAGGCTAAATCAGGCCTCCTCAGCTCATTGTTATGGATGTATCCTAATGAATGTCACTAGAAAAACTGCTTTTAAACAAACGCAAATCCAGCTACTTTGCTGTTATTCTGGCTGCAGACGTCGTGACTGTGTTAGCCGTAGCTAGTTGGCTAGCTAGCAAGCAAGGGATAAGAACGTTGCCAGTGAGCATGGCAACGGAACGTATAGAACGAACGACTGGGTCGCGTCCTTAACTAATCGAACGAACGACTGGGTCGCGTCCTTAACTAATCGAACGAACGACTGGGTCGCGTCCTTAACTAATCGAACGAACGACTGGGTCGCGTCCTTAACTAATCGAACGAACGACTGGGTCGCGTCTCTAGCAATCAAAAGATGAGAAAGCATGAATTATCTTATAAAAAGGAAAAATATCAACTTATTTTTTTTTTTTTCTACGGGTAAATGTGTGCTTTAGTATTTTTTTCTTTGGTAACTGTGGTATAAGCTGGATGAACGCCTTGTCCCGCTGCGTCCTCCATTATTTCCAAGGTAACGTACAGAATGTCAGCGTTTTATCCCATACTTATATATTACTTTGTGTACTTCGCGTTATATTACTTAAACGTTTCTTTCACGAAAAAAAATGATCTAAAATCTGTGGGATGGAGCAAGGCGAGCTGCGCGCACTTTCCCAAAGATATGCTACTTACTTTGGCCTCCTCATCCCCATTGACATCTTTCTCTCTCTCTCTTGCTCTCTTCTACTCCCCTTCTCCCGGGCAGGACAGGGGGTGTAGAGGGTAGGGGTACAGGGTGTAGATTTAGGGGGGTATAGTTGTATCCGGTGTAGAGGGTAGGGGTACAGGGTTGTAGATTTGGGGGGTATAGTTGTATCCGGTGTAGGGGTAGGGGTACGGGGGGTAGGTTTAGGGGGTATGTTGTATCCGGTGTAGAGGGTAGGGGTACAGGGTGTTGTTTAGGGGGGTATAGTTGTAAACCGGTGTAGAGGGTAGGGGTACAGGGTGTAGATTTAGGGGGGTATAGTTGTATCCGGTGTAGAGGGTAGGGGTACAGGGTGTAGATTTAGGGGGGTATAGTTGTATCCGGTGTAGAGGGTAGGGGTACAGGGTGTAGGTTTAGGGGGGTATAGTTGTATCCGGTGTAGAGGGTAGGGGTACAGGGTGTAGATTTAGGGGTGTTTAGTTGTAAACCGGGGTAGGGGTAGGGTACAGGGTGTAGGTTTAGGGGGGTATAGTTGTATCCGGTGTAGAGGGTAGGGGTACAGGGTGTAGATTTAGGGGGGTAATAGTTGTATCGGTGTAGAGGGTAGGGGTACAGGTGGTGTTAGATTTAGGGGGGTATAGTTTGTATCCGGTGTAGATGGTAGGGGGTACAGGGTTTAGATTTAGTGGGGTATAGTTGTATCCTGCCTGTAGAGGGTAGGGGTCAAGGGTGTAGGTTTAGGGGGGTATAGTTGTATCCGGTGTAGAGGGTAGGGGTACAGGGTGTAGATTTAGGGGTGGTTAGTTGTATCCGGTGTAGAGGGTAGGGGTACAGGGTGTAGGTTTAGGGGGGTATAGTGTATCGGTGTAGAGGGTAGGGTACAGTGTAGGTTTAGGGGGGTATTGTATCCGGTGTGAGGGTGAGGGTGTAGGGGTTAGTTGTATCCAGGGTGTAGAGTTTAGGGGGGTATAGTTGTATCCGGTGTAGAGGGTAGGGGTACAGGGTGTAGATTTAGGGGGGTATAGTTGTATCCGGTGTAGAGGGTAGGGGTACAGGGTGTAGATTTAGGGGGGTATAGTTGTATCGGTGTAGAGGTTGGGGTCAGGGTGTAGTTTAGGGGGGTTATAGTTGTATCGGTAGGTGTTAGAGGGTAGGGGTACAGGGTTGAGATTCGGGGTGTTTAGTTGTTTCGAATGTCGGTTCCCCGGTTAGGAGGTGGTTGATCGACGTAGCCTGGTGGTCTCTGTTCCGGGACGGCCTGATCATGATGGGGTCACCAACCAACGTCTGGAGGGAACAACACACGCAGATGTTACAAATCAAAATAACTGTACATGTGTGATTGGTGGCAGCTTCAACCGCATGACCAAGCCACAGGCCCAGGTTGGACTACACCAGAGTTGGACTGACCATATGGAGCGATTTCAGTGCCAACAGAAATTGTATTTACATTTACGTCATTTAGCAGACGCTCTATCCAGAGCGACTTACAAATTGGTGGCATTCACCTTATGACAAACCACTTTACCACATTACCTTTTTTTTTTTTTTTTTTTTTTTTTTTTTGTTATCTTTTTTGTAGTTTTAATTTTTTGAAATTTTTGTATTTTTTAGTTTGTCGTTTATTTTATTTTATTTTTTATATATATATATATATATATATATATATATATATATATATATATATATATTATATATATATATATATATATATATATATATACACACACACACAGTGGGGGAAAAAAGCATTTAGTCAGCCACCAATTGTGCAAGTTCTCCCACTTAAAAAGATGAGAGAGGCCTGTAATTTTCATCATAGGTACACGTCAACTATGACAGACAAATTGAGATTTTTTTTCTCCAGAAAATCACATTGTAGGATTTTTAATGAATTTATTTGCAAATTATGGTGGAAAATAAGTATTTGGTCACCTACAAACAAGCAAGATTTCTGTCTCTCACAGACCTGTAACTTCTTCTTTAAGAGGCTCCTCTGTCCTCCACTTGTTACCTGTATTAATGGCACCTGTTTGAACTTGTTATCAGTATAAAAGACACCTGTCCACAACCTCAAACAGTCAAACTCCAAACTCCACTATGGCCAAGACCAAAGAGCTGTCAAAGGACACCAGAAACAAAATTGTAGACCTGCACCAGGCTGGGAAGACTGAATCTGCAATAGGTAAGCAGCTTGGTTTGAAGAAATCAACTGCGGGAGCAATTATTAGGAAATGGAAGACATACAAGGCCACTGATAATCTCCCTCGATCTGGGGCTCCACGCAAGATCTCACCCCGTGGGGTCAAAATGATCACAAGAACGGTGAGCAAAAATCCCAGAACACACGGGGGGACCTAGTGAATGACCTGCAGAGAGCTGGGACCAAAGTAACAAAGCCTACCATCAGTAACACACTACGCCGCCAGGGACTCAAATCCTGCAGTGCCAGACGTGTCCCCCTGCTTAAGCCAGTACATGTCCAGGCCCGTCTGAAGTTTGCTAGAGTGCATTTGGATGATCCAGAAGAGGATTGTGAGAATGTCATATGGTCAGATGAAACCAAAATATAACTTTTTGGTAAAAACTCAACTCGTTGTGTTTGGAGGACAAAGAATGCTGAGTTGCATCCAAAGAACACCATACCTACTGTGAAGCATGGGGGTGGAAACATCATGCGTTGGGGCTGTTTTTCTGCAAAGGGACCAGGACGACTGATCCGTGTAAAGGAAAGAATGAATGGGGCCATGTATCGTGAGATTTTGAGTGAAAACCTCCTTCCATCAGGAAGGGCATTGAAGATGAAACGTGGCTGGGTCTTTCAGCATGACAATGATCCCAAACACACCGCCCGGGCAACGAAGGAGTGGCTTCGTAAGAAGCATTTCAAGGTCCTGGAGTGGCCTAGCCAGTCTCCAGATCTCAACCCCATAGAAAATCTTTGGAGGGAGTTGAAAGTCCGTGTTGCCCAGCGACAGCCCCAAAACATCACTGCTCTAGAGGAGATCTGCATGGAGGAATGGGCCAAAATACCAGCAACAGTGTGTGAAAACCTTGTGAAGACTTACAGAAAACGTTTGACCTGTGTCATTACCAACAAAGGGTATATAACAAAGTATTGAGAAACTTTTGTTATTGACCAAATACTTATTTTCCACCATAATTTGCAAATAAATTCATTAAAAATCCTACAATGTGATTTTCTGGAAAAAAAATTCTCATTTTGTCTGTCATAGTTGACGTGTACCTATGATGAAAATTACAGGCCTCTCTCATCTTTTTAAGTGGGAGAACTTGCACAATTGGTGGCTGACTAAATACTTTTTTTCCCCACTTTATAAATATATATATATATATATATATATATATATATATATTGAATTGCATAATTTTGAATTTTTATTAGAGATAGATATTGAATTGTAATGCACAAATTTAATCATTGAATTCATAAATTGAACTTGTATTTCATCATTTGAAACTTAAATGAGTGAACATTGCATTCAGTTAAAATTCAATTTCAATATAATTGAATACTCAAATTCAATCTTCATATATTCAGTTTCAATATGGTAGATGTTCCATTCATTCTGTGTATCAAGTTTACAAACTACCATTTCAAGTTAATCAAAGTTTCATATATTCAACTTCTCAGATGCATTCAGATTCAGTTTTCAAATTCCGTTTTCTAAATTCAGATTAAAAACCAGAAACAACATCCTGGTACTTTGCCAGCCAACAACATCCTGGTACTTTGCCAGCCAGGAAAAGTAGAGTAGAACAGATAGAATGAAAAGCTCACTGTGGTAAACAGAAGCCTCTGGCGGTTTCTGAAGCCAATTTGGCATGTTGAATTAATTTTCTTCCTATGAATTTAGCTCTAGCACTTGAACCGTTTTGTCTATAAGCTATTATGAGCCCATTCCTGAAAGCTAACACTCTCTGGAACATGGATGTGCTTTCCATTCCCCTCTATGATGATCACAGGCTGCGTTAGAAGGGAGTGTAAAAAACAACAACGCTATTTGGCCCCCATAAGAATACACAATGTACCATATTGAAACGGAATATATAAACATTGAATTTGAATATTCAATTAAATTGAAATTGAATTTTAAAACAATACAATATTTACTCAATTCAGTCTCAAATATTGAAATATAAATTCAATTTATGAAGTCAATTTGTGTATTACAAATTCAAATGCAATCATCTAATACAAATTCAAAATTATGGAATTAAAATACAATTTCTGTTGGCACTGAAATCGCTTCATATACCCACAGGCACAGGTTGGAGTTAAACTGTTCTAATGACCAACCCATAGGCACAAGGGACTGACCAGAGTTAAACTGTTCTAATGACCAGGCACAAGGGACTGACCAGATAAACTGTTCTAATGACCAGGCACAGGGGACTGACCACTTAAACTGTTCTAATGACCAGGCACAGGGGACTGACCAGATAAACTGTTCTAATGACCAGGCACAAGGGACTGACCAGATAAACTGTTCTAATGACCAGGCACAGGGGACTGACCAGTTAAACTGTTCTAATGACCAGGCACAGGGGACTGACCAGATAAACTGTTCTAATGACCAGGCACAAGGGACTGACCAGTTAAACTGTTCTAATGACCAACCCACAGGCACAAGGGACTGACCAGATAAACTGTTCTAATGACCAGGCACAGGGGACTGACCAGAGTTAAACTGTTCTAATGACCAGGCACAGGGGACTGACCAGAGTTAAACTGTTCTAATGACCAGGCACAGGGGACTGACCAGTTAAACTGTTCTAATGACCAGGCACAGGGGACTGACCAGAGTTAAACTGTTCTAATGTACAGTTCCCTGCCTGCCTGGGATCAAATCCTCTCTATCGGTCTTCCCTTCATTCAACCAAGTGAAAATCCACTCTACTTAAAAAAAGACTTATTGATTAAACTCCTCACCTCTCATCTTTAGTTCTATTGATTGATTGATTGATTGATTGATTGATTAATTAAACTCCTCACCTCTCTCGTCAGACTGCATCTGTGCCTCCAGGTCTTCAGGGGAGACGTAGAACTCTGGTTCCTGGTCCATGGGCGGCCGCGGTTTACACTTCCCACAGCAGCAGTTACAGCAGCAGCACAAACAGCAGCAGAAGTAGCAGCCAGTGGCCAAGCCACAGAAGATGAACAGGCCCTGCAGACAGAGGAGACCGTCAGGGAGAGGGAAGGAGGTGAGAGATGAGACACACAAACTGATCTTGAGGGGTGAAATGTACTGGGGACTCATCACAACTCCACATCTATCACAAAATGTACTGGGGACTCATCACAACTCCACATCTATCACTACATTTACTAGGGACTCATCACAACTCCGCATCTATCACTACATTTACTGGGGACTCATCACAACTCCACATCTATCACTACATTTACTGGGGACTCATCACAACTCCACATCTATCACTACATTTACTGGGGACTCATCACAACTCCACATCTATCACTACATTTACTGGGGACTCATCACAACTCCACATCTATCACTACATTTACTAGGGTACCATTTGGCGATCAGAGACAGAGACACACGTTGTCTTACCTTAGCCCACCAGGAGGAGAGGACAAAGTAGGTGTTGACGTTGTCCTCTCCAAACTGCTCGGCCACATAGAGTCCCAGAGAGCCGTACTTATCATAGATGTTCCTCTTGGTACAGTCGTTCAGGATGGCGTGGGCGTTATTGATTTCCTTAAACTTATCAGCAGCCTCGGGGTTGTCTGGGTTCTTGTCTGGGTGGAACTTCAGAGCCAGTTTCCTGATTGGACGGAGAACAGAGAGGATGAGGTTATGACAGAAACAATGATAGAATGATGAAACAAATAAAATGTAGCGCGTTTCAGCCAAAGACAAATTCAGCCCGATCATATTGTAACCTCATCACTTCTGTCCCATATTTGCAATGTTCAGCCATCTTGCACCACATCTCTGTTGCCCTCTAGGGAACAGTGATAACAGGAAGTCTAGTGGACTGTGTCTCATAGGGAACAGTGATAACAGGAAGTCTAGTGGACTGTGTCTCATAGTGAACAGTGATAACAGGAAGTCTAGTGGACTGTGTCTCGTAGTGAACAGTGATAACAGGAAGTCTAGTGGACTGTGTCTCATAGGGAACAGTGATAACAGGAAGTCTAGTGGACTGTGTCTCATAGTGAACAGTGATAACAGGAAGTCTAGTGGACTGTGTCTCATAGTGAACAGTGATAACAGGAAGTCTAGTGGACTGTGTCTCATAGTGAACAGTGATAACAGGAAGTCTAGTGGACTGTATCTCATAGTGAACAGTGATAACAGGAAGTCTAGTGGACTGTGTCTCATAGTGAACAGTGATAACAGGAAGTCTAGTGGAATGTGTCTCATAGTGAACAGTGATAACAGGAAGTCTAGTGGACTGTGTCTCATAGTGAACAGTGATAACAGGAAGTCTAGTGGAATGTGTCTCATAGTGAACAGTGATAACAGGAAGTCTAGTGGACGGTGTCTCATAGTGAACAGTGATAACAGGAAGTCACTCCCTCCTCTTGGTCACATTCCCTACATCAAATTAGCGTCTAGACCACAAATCCAGCCTTCTACATTAGACAGACAATGACTTTGTGACTATCACTGTTGAAGTGCTGCCTGGCAGGCTTGAGGAGTGTGATTTAGTTTCTACAACTGGCTCCATTACAGCTGAGCTGACCCCCAAGAGGAAGAGAGAGGCTCTGTCTCAATGACTTAAAAATCTGTCCTCGCTTCCTCCCCATTACTTCCACTGATGGGGAAAGGTGAAGACAACATGGTGGAAGGAGCTCATCCTTAGGCTGGCTTTCACCTGGACAGAGGAGACAGGCGTATTCTGCTGGACTATGTAGTACTACACTGTACTATGTACTACTACACTGTACTATGTACTACTACACTGTACTATGTAGTACTACACTGTACTATGTACTACTACACTGTAATACAGTGCCTTCATCTAAAATTGATTAAATTGTTTTTTTCCCCCCTCATCAATCTACACACAATACCCCATAATGACAAAGCAAAAACAGGTTTGTAGAAATGTTTGCAAAAAACAAAATAACTGAAATTTCACATTTACATAAGTATTCAGACCCTTTACTCAGAACTTTGTTGAAGCACCTTTGGCAGCGATTACAGCATAGAGTCTTCTTGGGTATGACGCTACAAGCTTGGCACACCTGTATTTGGGGAGTTTCTCCCATTCTTCTCTGCATATCCTCTCAAGCTCTGTCAGGTTGGATGGGGAGCGTCGCTGCACAGCTATTTTCAGGTCTCTCCAGAGATGTTCGATCTGGTTCAAGTCCGGGCTCTGGCTGGGCCACTCAAGGACATTCAGAGACTTGTCCCGAAGCCACTCCTGCGTTGTCTTGACTGTGTGCTTAGGGTCGTTGTCCTGTTGGAAGGTGAACCTTCACCCCAGTCTGAGGTCCTGAGCGCTCTGGAGCAGGTTTTCATCAAGGATCTCTCTGTACTTTGCTCCTTTCATCTTTCCCTCGATCCTGACATCTCCCAGTCCCTTCAGCTGAAAAACATTCCCACAGCATGATGCTGCCACCACCATGCTTCACCGTAGGGATGGTGCCAGGTTTCCTCCAGACGTGATGCTTGGAATTCAGGCCAAAGAATTCAATCTTGGTTTCATCAGACCAGAGAATCTTGTTTCTCATGGTCTGAGAGTCTTTAGGTGCCTTTTGGCAAACTCCAAGCGGGCTGTAATGTGCCTTTTACCGAGGAGTGGCTTCTGTAAAGGCCTGATTGGTGGAGTGCTGCAGAGATGGTTGTCCTTCTGGAAGGTTCTCCCATCTCCACAGAGGAACTCTGGAGCTCTGTCAGAGTGACCATTGGGTTCTTGGTCACCTCCCTGACCAAGGCCCTTCTCCCCAGATTGCTCAGTTTGGCCGGGCAGCCAGCTCTAGGAAGAGTATTGGTGGTTCCAAACTTCTTCCATTTAAGAATGATGGAGGCCACTGTGTTCTTGGGGACCTTCAATGCTGCAGAAATGTTTTGGTACCCTTCCCCAGATCTGTGCCTCGACACAATCCTGTCTTGGAGCTCTAAGGACAATTCCTTCGACCTCATGGCTTGGGTTTTACTCTGACATGCACTGTCAACTGTGGGACCTTATATAGACAGGTGTGTGCCTTTCCAAATCATGTCCAATCAATTGAATTTACCACAGGTGGACTCCAATCAAGTTGTAGAAACATCTAAAGGATGATCAATGCAAACAGGATGCACCTGAGCTCAATGTCGAGTCTTACAGCAAAGGGTCTGAATACTTATGTAAATAAGGTATTTCTGTTTCTTATTTTGAATAAATTTGCAAACATTTCTAAAAACCTGTTTTCGCTTTGTCATTATGGGGTATTGCGTGTAGATTGCTGAGGAAAAAACATGAATTTAATCAATTTTAGAATAAGGCTGTAACATAACAAAATGTGGAAAAAGTCAAGGGGTCTGAATACTTTCTGAATTCACTGTATGTCCTACACTGTATTATGTAGTACATCTGCCTGGAGCACTTGTTGATGTCCTCTAGTGTGGCTAGTGGTGTAGATCGTTAACCTGTTACCTGTAGGACTTGATGTCCTCTGGGGTGGCTAGTGGTGTAGATTGTTAACCTGTTACCTGTAGGACTTCTTGATGTCCTCTGGTGTGGCTAGTGGTGTAGATCGTTACCCTGTTACCTGTAGGACTTCTTGATGTCCTCTGCTGTGGCTAGTGGTGTAGATCGTTACCCTGTTACCTGTAGGACTTCTTGATGTCCTCTAGTGTGGCTAGTGGTGTAGATCGTTACCCTGTTACCTGTAGGACTTCTTGATGTCCTCTGGGGTGGCTAGTGGTGTAGATCGTTACCCTGTTACCTGTAGGACTTCTTGATGTCCTCTAGTGTGGCTAGTGGTGTAGATCGTTACCCTGTTACCTGTAGGACTTCTTGATGTCCTCTAGTGTGGCTAGTGGTGTAGATCGTTACCCTGTTACCTGTAGGACTTCTTGATGTCCTCTAGTGTGGCTAGTGGTGTAGATCGTTACCCTGTTACCTGTAGGACTTCTTGATGTCCTCTGGGGTGGCTAGTGGTGTAGATCGTTACCCTGTTACCTGTAGGACTTCTTGATGTCCTCTAGTGTGGCTAGTGGTGTAGATCGTTACCCTGTTACCTGTAGGACTTCTTGATGTCCTCTAGTGTGGCTAGTGGTGTAGATCGTTACCCTGTTACCTGTAGGACTTCTTGATGTCCTCTAGTGTGGCTAGTGGTGTAGATCGTTACCCTGTTACCTGTAGGACTTCTTGATGTCCTCTGCTGTGGCTAGTGGTGTAGATTGTTAACCTGTTACCTGTAGGACTTCTTGATGTCCTCTAGTGTGGCTAGTGGTGTAGATCGTTACCCTGTTACCTGTAGGACTTCTTGATGTCCTCTGGGGTGGCATTCTTGTCGATCCCCAGGACCAAGTAGAGCGAGTCTCCTGACGTAGAGAGAGAACGCTGTCTCTGCGCCTCAGCTGCCATGAAGACAACTCCCTCGGTCTCTCTCTTTCAGTCTCTCTCACACACTCCTTTGCTCACGCACAGCCTCACCAGTCTAAGAGAGGGGGAGAGAAGGGGGAGAGAAGGGGAGAGAGAAGGGAGAGAGAAGGGGAAGAGAGAGGAGAGAGAAAGTCAGTGACAAGAAATATCTGATCAAATAAAACATGACTCAACTGCTACACTAGAGACAGACAGACTACACTAGACAGAAATACAGACAGACTACACTAGACAGACTACACTAGACAGAGACAGACTACACTAGACAGACTACACTAGACAGAGACAGACTACACTAGACAGAGACTACACTAGACAGACTACACTAGACAGAGACAGACTACACTAGACAGAGACTACACTAGACAGACTACACTAGACAGACTACACTAGACAGACTACACTAGACAGACTACACTAGACAGAGACAGACTACACTAGACAGAGACAGACTACACTAGACAGACTACACTAGACAGAAACACAGACAGACTACACTAGACAGACTACACTAGACAGACTACACTAGACAGAGACAGACTACACTAGACAGAGACTACACTAGACAGAGACTACACTAGACAGAAACACAGACAGACTACACTAGACAGAGACTACACTAGACAGAGACAGACTACACTAGACAGAGACTACACTAGACAGACTACACTAGACAGAGACTACACTAGACAGAGACTACACTAGACAGAGACTACACTAGACAGAGACTACACTAGACAGAGACAGACTACACTAGACAGAGACTACACTAGACAGACTACACTAGACAGACTACACTAGACAGAGACTACACTAGACAGACTACACTAGACAGAGACAGACTACACTAGACAGAGACTACACTAGACAGAGACAGACTACACTAGACAGAGACTACACTAGACAGACTACACTAGACAGACTACACTAGACAGACTACACTAGACAGAGACAGACTACACTAGACAGAGACAGACTACACTAGACAGAGACAGACTACACAAGACAGACTACACTAGACAGAGACAGACTACACAAGACAGACTACACTAGACAGACTACACTAGACAGAAACACAGACAGACTACACTAGACAGAAACACAGACAGACTACGCTAGACAGAAAGACAGACTGCTAGACAGACAGAGACTACACTAGCAGTTGACTGACAGAGACAGGACACACAGAGTGCACTTATGATGAGACCCGGCCTTGGTTTAAAATCCCTGGTTCAACACTAGTTTTGGTCTGACAGAAAGACAGTGCAGAGGCTATAGAGGCAGGAGTGTATAGAATACCGGGGCCCGTATTCACCAAGTGTATAGAATACCGGGGCCCGTATTCACCAAGTGTATAGAATACCGGGGCCCGTATTCACCAAGTGTATAGAATACCGGGGCCCGTATTCACCAAGTGTATAGAATACCGGGGCCCGTATTCACCAAGTGTATAGAATACCGGGGCCCGTATTCACCAAGTGTATAGAATACCGGGGCCCGTATTCACCAAGTGTATAGAATACCGGGGCCCGTATTCACCAAGTGTCTCATAATGAATAAGATTAACATGGAGAGGGCCGACCTGATCCTAGATCCTACTCTGAGAAGGTTTTATGGATATGAAGAGTAGAAAATAGCATTCCTAATAAAGCTACGGTCTGCTAGTCTGGTGAGAGGCCAATCATAGTCATACACATCTCACAGACAACTATTCACAACTACTTACACCCTTAAAATGCGCCACGCTAGCCTCATAGCGCTAGCCTCATAGCGTTGGCCTACATAATATACAGAGCCTCATAGCGTTGGCCTACATAATATACAGAGCCTCATAGCGTTGGCCTACATAATATACAGAGCCTTCAGAAAGTACTCAGACTTATTCTACAGCTTGAATTCAAAATGGATGAAATCGATTCCCCCCCGTCCCCCCTCTGCCATCTACACACGATACCCCATAATGACAAAGTGAAAACATGTTTGTAGATATGTTTGCTAATATATTGAAAATGAAATGCAGAAATATCTCATTAACATGACTGTTCACACCCCTGACTGAATACATGTTAGAATCACCGTTGGCAGCGATTACAGCTGTCAGTCTTTCTGGGTAAGTCTCTATAGAATCACCGTTGGCAGCGATTACAGCTGTCAGTCTTTCTGGGTAAGTCTCTATAGAATCACCGTTGGCAGCGATTACAGCTGTCAGTCTTCCTGGGTAAGTCTCTATAGAATCACCGTTGGCAGCGATTACAGCTGTCAGTCTTTCTGGGTAAGTCTCTATAGAATCACCGTTGGCAGCGATTACAGCTGTCAGTCTTTCTGGGTAAGTCTCTATAGAATCACCGTTGGCAGCGATTACAGCTGTCAGTCTTTCTGGGTAAGTCTCTATAGAATCACCGTTGGCAGCGATTACAGCTGTCAGTCTTCCTGGGTAAGTCTCTATAGAATCACCGTTGGCAGCGATTACAGCTGTCAGTCTTTCTGGGTAAGTCTCTATAGAATCACCGTTGGCAGCGATTACAGCTGTCAGTCTTCCTGGGTAAGTCTCTATAGAATCACCGTTGGCAGCGATTACAGCGGTCAGTCTTTCTGGGTAAGTCTCTATAGAATCACCGTTGGCAGCGATTACAGCTGTCAGTCTTTCTGGGTAAGTCTCTATAGAATCACCGTTGGCAGCGATTACAGCTGTCAGTCTTTCTGAGTAAGTCTCTATAGAATCACCGTTGGCAAGCGATTACAGCGGTCAGTCTTTTCTGGGTAAGTCTCTATAGAATCACCGTTGGCAGCGATTACAGCTGTCAGTCTTTCTGGGTAAGTCTCTATAGAATCACCGTTGGCAGCCATTACAGCGGTCAGTCTTTCTGGGTGAGTCTCTAAGAGCTTTTCACACCTTGATTGTGCAATATTTTCCCATGATTTTTTTTATTTATTCTTCAAGCTCTGTCGAATTGGTTGTTGATCATTGCTAGACAGCAATTTTCAAGTCTTGCCATAGATTCTCAAGCCGATTTAAATCAAAACTGTAACTAGGCCACTCAGGAACATTCAACGTGGTCTTGGTAAGCAACTCCAGTGTATATTTCATCAATAAGGCCCGAGGGGATGTGGTACAGTGTATTCAGACCCCTTGGCTTTTTCCACATTGTTACGTTACAGTCTTATTCTAAAATGGCCAGGTTTCCTCCAGACGTGACGCTTGGCATTCAGGCCAAAGAGTTCAAGCTTGGTTTCATCAGACCAGAGAATTGTTTTTTTCATGATCTGAGAGTCTTTAGGCAAACTCCAAGCGGGCCGTCATGTGTTTTTTACTGAGGAGTGGCTTCAGTCTGGCCACTCTACCATCATTCCTTCGACCTCATGGCTTGGTTTTTTGCTCTGACATGCACTGTCAACTGTGGGACCTTATATAGACAGGTGTGTGTCTTTCCAAATCATGTCCAATCAATTGAATTTATCACAGGTGGACTCCAATCAAAGTTGTAGAAACATCTCAAGGATGATCAATGGAAACAGGATGCACCTGAGCTCAATTTCAAGTCTCATAGCAAAGGGTCTGAATACTTATGTAAATAAGATATGTTTATTATTTTTGTATAAATTTGCAAACATTTATAAAAACCTGTTTTCACTTTGGCATTATGGGGTATTGTGTGTAGATTGCTGAGGGAAAACAATTATTTAATCCATTTTAGAATAAGGCTGTAATTTAACAAAATGTGGAAAAAGTCAAGGGGTCTGAATACTTTCCGAAGGCACTGTATATGGCCAATATACCACGGCTAAGGGCTGTTCTTAAGCCCGACGCAACGCGGAGTGCCTGGATACAGCCCTTATTGGCTATATATCACAAACCCACAAGGTGCCTTATTGCTATTATAAACTGGTTACCAACGTAATTAGTTCAGTAAAAATAAATGTTTTGTCATACCTGTGGTATATGGTCTGATATTCCACGGCTGTCAGCCAATCAGCATTCAGGGCTCGAACAACCTAGTTTATAATTGGCCTTGTGTTTTAGGTTATTGTCCTGCTGAAAAGGTGAATTTGTCTGTTTTTTATAATAATAATAATAATAATAAAAACATTTTTTAACTCCCTAGCCCTCCCAATGACATGAAATTCACTGCTCGACTGAGGGACCTTACAGATAATTGTATGTGTGGGGTACAAAGATGAGGTAGTCATTCAGAAATCATGTTACACTATTATTGCACACAGAATGAGTCCATGCAACTTATTATGTGACTTGTTAAGCAAATGTTTTACTCCTGAACTTATTTAGCCTTGCCATAACAAAGGGGTTGAATCCTTATGACTCAAGATATTCATCAAACATACACACTAGACAGACTATCCACTAACAGAAACTACACTAGACAGACTACACTAGACATACTACAAGTCACTAGACAGACGACACTAGACGAGAGACTACCACGAGACAGACTACACTAGACCGACTACACTACAGACCTATACACTAACAGGACTACACTAGACAGACTACATAACACCAGAGCAGACTACACTGACATAACAGCCTAACACTAGACAGACTACACTAGACAGACACACTAAAAGACCTACACTAGACAGACTAACACTAGACAGAGACTACACTAGCACAGATACAGACTCCATACACAGACAGAGACTTACACAAGACAAAAATACAACGACTACACTAGACATAGACTACACTAACAGACTACACTAGACATAAACAGACGACCCAGACAGACTAAACACTAGACAGTAAACAGACTACCTCAACAGAACTACAACAGACAGAGACAGACTTTGTGCATGCTTGAAGTACAGACTATGTCTAAACAACAAGACTACACTAGACAAGACAGACTCTAGACGACCAAGACTACCCTAGACAGAGACTAAACTTACCACTAGACAGACTCACTATACAGAAAACAGACTGCTAGCCAGACATATACTACACAGCAGTTGACTGACAGAGACAGACACACAGAGTGCAACTTATGATGAGACCCCCCACCCTGCCTTGGTTTAAAATCCTGGTTCACAACCCTGTTTTGGTCTGACAGAAAAGATCAGTGCAGAGCTTATAAGAGGCAGGAGTGTATAGAATACCGGGGCCCGTATTCACCCGTGTAATAGAATATACCGGGCCCGTATTCACCAAGTGTAAAATACCGGGGGTCCCTTATGTCACCAAGGTATATAATACCGGGGCCCGTATTCACCAAGTGTATAGAAATCCGGGGCCCGTATTCACCAAGTGTATATAATCCGGTGCCCGTATTCACCAAGTGGATAGAATACCGGGGCCCTTATTCACCAAGTGTTAGAATACCGGGGCCCGTATTCACCAAGTGTATAGAATACCGGGGCCCGTATTCAACCAAGTTTCCTCATAATGATAAGATGACATGGAGAGGGCCGACCTTTATCGTTAGATCAGAACTCTACGCCTTAAAGGTTTTAGGATTAAGAGTAGAAAATTCATTCCCAATAAACCTAACGGTCTGCTAGTCTTTGATAGCCAATCATCGTCATACACGTCTCACAGACAACTATTCACAACTACTTACACAAACCAACACCCTTAAAATGCGCCACGCTAGCCTCTACGTTTTGGCCGACATAATATACGTGCCTGTCCCCAAGTAAAAGTACTCATAGACTTCATTCTAAACAGCTTGATTCAAAATGGATGAATCGATTCCCCCCCCCCCCCCATCCCCTCTGCCTCTACAAACACGATACCCATAATGACAAAGTTGAAAACATGTTTGTCGAAAGTTGCTATGTATTGAAAATAAATGCAGAAATACTCTCATTAACATTAGTGTTCAAACCCATGACTGAAATAGATGGTTATAACACCGTTGGGGCAGCGATTACGCTGTTCAGTCTGCCTGGTAAGCTCTAAGATCTTTTCACACCTTGATTGTGCAATATTTTTCCCATGATTCCTTTTTAAAAATCCTTCAAGCTCTCTGTCGAATTGGGTTGTTGATCATTCCGAACAGATTTTCAAGTCTTTGCTATAGATCTCAAGCCGATTTAAATCAAAACTGTCACTAGGCCACTGAGTGAACATTCAACGTGGTCTTGGTAAAGCAACTCCAGTGTAATATTTCATCATAAGGGCCCTAGGTATGTGGTACAGTGTATTCGACCCCTTGGCTTTTTCCCACATTGTTAGTTACAGGGCCCTTATTCTAAAAGGCCAGGTTTCCTGCCAGACGTGACGCTTGGCATGCAGGCAAAAGAGTTCAGCTATGGTTTCTCAGACCAGAGAATAGTTTTTTTCATGGTCCTGATAGTCTTTAAGAGGCAAACTCAAGCGGGCCGTCATGTGTTTTTTTTACTGAGGAGTGGCTTCAGTCTTGGCCACTTCTCCATCATTCCTTCACCTCCATGGCTGTTTTTTTGCTCGACAGTCACTGTCACTGTGGACCTTATATAGACAGTGTGGTTCTTTCCCAAATCATGTCCAATCAATTGAATTTACCAACATTGTGGACTTCCATCAAAGTTGTAAAACATCTCAAGGAGATCAATGACAGAACAGGAATGCCCTGAAGGCTCAATTTCAAGTCTCATATGCAAAGGGTCCCTGATACTTATGTAATAATATATCTGTTATTATTTTTGTATAAATTTGCAACCTTTATAAAAACCTGTGTTCACTTTGTCATTATGGTGTTGTGTGTAGATTGCTGAGGGAAAACATTATTTAATCCTTTTTAGAATAAGGCTGTAATTTAACAAAATGTGGAAAAATCAAGGTCTGAATCTTACTTTCCGAAGGCACTGTATATGGCCAATTAACCCACGGCTAGGGCTGTTTTCTTAAGCCCTACCGCAACGCGGAGTGCCTGGATACAGCCCTTATTGGGCTTATATCACAAACCCATCAAGGTTCCTATTGCTATTTAAAGCTGGTTACCAACGTAATTAGTTCGTAAAAATAAATGTTTTGTCATACTTGATATGGTCTGAAATCCACGGCTGGTCAGCCAATCAGCGTCATGGCTCGAACAAACAACCTAGTTTATAATTGTGCCTTGTGTTTTTAGGTTTATTGTTCCTGCTGAAAAGGTGAATTTGTCTGTTTTTTATAATAAATAATAAAACATTTTTAACTCCCAGCCCTCCAAGACATAATTCACTGCTCGAACTGAGGACCTTACAGATAATTGTATGTGTGGGGTACAAAGATTAGGTAGTCATTCCGAAATCCATGTTACACCAACAACTATTATGGCACACAGAATGATCCATCCACTTATTATGTACTTGTTATAAGCCAAATGTTTACTCCTGATTAGTTAGCCCCTTGGCCATAACAATGGGTTGAATCCTTATTGACTCAGATATTTCAGCAGCTTTTCAGTTTTTTATAATTTTTAACAATTTCTAAAAAACATAATTCACTTTAACATTATGGGTATTGTTGTGTAGGCCCGTTCACAAACATCTCAATTTAATCAATTTTTAAATTGAGGGCTGGAACAACAAATGTGGAAAAGTCAAGGGCTGTGAATACTGTCCTGAAGCACTGCAATCTCTGTGAGAGACGGAATATGCAATGCCTACGTGAGTGTGGAAGAAACAGTGGGGAGGGAGAGAACGTGGGGAAGGGGAGGGAGAGACAGTGGGGAGGAGAGTGGGAGGTAGAGAGCGAGAGAGAAGAGTGGGGAGTGGAGAGAGCGTGTGGGGCGGAGAGAGAGAGCGAGGTGAGTATAGGGAATCCTCTCTCTCTCTACTCTCTTTTCTCTCTCTCTTTTTTCTTTCTCTCTACCCTTTGGTTGCTGCTCTCTCGCGCTCTTGTTTTTGTTCTTACTCTCATATTTTCTGTTAGTTAACCAATCCCTCTTTTATTCTTTCAGTCTATCATAGTGGTTTCTTTCTCGCTACTCTGTTTTTCTTGCTCTATCCATTGTTTATATGTAGCTATCTAGAGAATAGGTTGATAGATACGTTGTTGAGTTTAGAGACAATTTTGTTTTAGATATGATCTATCTTTTAGCTTCTGTATCATCGCTCTTATTCTTTCTCGCTCTCTTTTTGTATTTACTCGCTCTCTCTCTTTTTTCTTTCTCTCTCTCTTCTTTCTCTCGTCTCTAACTCCTCTCTCTCTCTCTCTCTCTCTTTTTGTATTTCTGCTCTCTCTCTCTTGTTTGCTTCCCTCTCTCCGTCTCTCTTTTGTATCTATATCGCTCCGCGCTATGGTTTCGGGAGCGCTCGTCCCTCTAGTTGTTCTGTTGCGCGCTCGCTTACGTTTCCTTTTTCTCGTGCTCTCGCCCCCATTGTTGGCAGGTAATGGAGAGACATTTGTGAGGGAGAGCGTAGAGCGAGTTGGTGAGGTGAGACACTACAGTGGTTTGGAGGGCGAGAGAGTAGGGGAGGGAGAGAGAGAGTGGGTAGGGCGAGATAGAGCGCGATGGGGAGGGAGATAGAGAGCGAGTTGGGAGGAGAGGAAAGAGCGCGATCAGAGAGCAGGGGTGTGGAGGGAGGGAGAGCAGTGGGGAGTGTAGTTAGAGACAGTTGTTGGAGGGAAAGAATAGGTAGTGAGGGAGAGATAGATGTTGTGAGTGTGTAGATAGAGAGACAAGATATAATTATATCGATCATGTGTTGACTTGCTGCGCTCTATATCTACTTGGGGCTTTCGTCTTCCCCCGTTTTTTCTGTTCTCCTTCGCTCCCTTGTTTCTTAGTATTCTTCTGTCATCCCCTTGTTTTTTGCTTTACCTCTCGCGTCTTCTTTCGCGCGCGCTTTGGCTTTCTCGCTCTCTCTCTCTTGCTTTTTCGTTTCTCTCTTCCTCTCCTCCTCGTCTCCTTTTTTGCTTTCTCTTCGTCGCCTCTTTGGGCTGGGCGCTCTCTCTGCTCTTGTGGATCTACCATCTCTGTCGCGTTGTTCGTTGCTCCTGCCCCCTTTTGCTGCCGTGGTCTGTCGTCTCCCTTTTTTCGTTCTTCGCGTTCCGCCTCCGGGGCTTGTTTTCGGTGTGCGTTCTGCTTTTGTGCTTGCGCGCGGCTCTTCTTTCTTTTCTCGTCTCCTCTTATGTTCGTGGCCGGCGCGCGGCGTCTTGGGGCTCGCGCTCGCGCTTCTCTTTGTTCTTGTCTCTCCTCTCCGCTCTTTCTTGTCGTTATTCTCCCCTCTCTCGCGAAAGTTCATGCGCTCTCCGAGCCGTCAGTCTGATTTTTCTTGGTTTCTCCTTCTCATGAATCTCGTCTCTATTGCTTTTTTTCTTCATTCTTCCGTTCCCTCTCTCTCTTTTATTCGGTTTGCTGCTATTTCGGCTCCTCCTTCTTTTGCTTTTCTGTGTGTCCGCGCGCCTCTCGGTGGTCTTCTCCGCTCTGGGTTTCTTGTGTAGACTACAATCGCGGTGAGGTATATCGCGCCGTGGCTAACTTCCCGGCCTCCCCCTTTGCCTGGCCTGCCCATGCCGCGGGCCCATCCCTACCTGCAACAAAAAGTAACCCCAAATTTATTCAGTTATATAACCTGCAGGTGAGACTCGGCAGGTGTTAGACAGTCAGTAAGACCGGTGCAGTGTGAGGAGGGAGGACTGATCCGTCAGGTTGAGACAGGCAGTAAGACACACACCCAGTAGCAGGGGACGATCCCGCTGTTCAGATAATCTGCTCATTTCTGTCCCTTTTGACAGCCCTGTGGAAACATTAACCAGGGGTTCGGGAGCCATACCAGGAGCCCTAGACAAAACCGACTGGTCTGGGCTTCAGTTTTTTTTTTTAAAGATTACCTCCATAGTGTCCGGTTCGCTAGGGGAAGGTGGTACTGGCCTATATCAAAAAAAAACAACACTAAATAGACTAAAGGCCAGTTGGGTGGGCCTGTATGTTAGGGGGAAGCCAGTAGGTCTATGGGGGGAGGCCGCCCCCCGCCCTGTCTGTAGTGTTAGGGGGAAGCCAGTGGGTGGGGGCCTGTAGTTTTAGGTGGAAAGCCAGGTGTGTGGGTTGGGCCCTTTAGTGTAGGGGAAAGCCAGTGGGTGGTGCCTGTAGTGTAGGGGGAAGCCAGTGGTTGTGGGGCCTGGTCTTTAGTTTTAGGGGGAAGCCAGTGGGTGGGGCCTTTAATTGTTTAGGGGGAAGGCCCAGTGGGTGGGGCCTGTAGTGGTTAGGGGGAAGCGCAGTGGGGGTGGCCTGCTAAAGTGTTAGGGGAAGCCCAGTGGGTGGGCCTGTATGTTAGGGGGAAGCCATTGGGGTGGGGAGCCTGTATGTTAGGGGTTATGGGAAGGGTTTAAGGTGCAGGCACACAACCTCCCCTAAAACTCCCATTACACCCGGGAGAAGGCCTGCTCCTTAATGACACTGTTGTCTTGACATTTTTGTTTTCCACATTGTTTCGTTACAGCCTATTCTAAAAATGGATTATAAATCCCCCCCTAAAAAAAATCGCGCACACTGCCATGCAAACCTCATAGACAAACATTTTGCATAGAATGGGCCCCGTACTGAAAGCCAGTGACTTTCATCAATCCACACGTGGCACCGTCGTAGTATGTAACAGTTCTGGCCCTGCTAGAGTCTGCCCCGAGTCAACATACGTGTTGTTAATTGGTGAAGTGGAAATGTCTAGGAGCAAAACAACTGCTCCAGCTGCGAAGTGTAGGCCACAACGATCAAACAACAAGCTCCCACAGAAATCGGTGGATGGACCGCTCGAGTTCTGAAGCGCGTAAAAATCGTCTGTCCTCGTTTTCAACACTCACTTACCGAGTTCCAAACTGCCACTGGAAGCAACATCAGCAAGCAAAGCAGCACAATATGTAGTCGGGAGCTTTCATGAAATGGGTATCCATGGCCGAGCAAGCCGCCACAAGCCTAATAAATTCACCCAATGCGCAATGCGAAAGCGTTGCTGGAGTGTGGTAAAGCTCGTCGGTCCATTGACTCCTTGACAGGGTTGGAATGGAAACGCGTTTCTCTGGAGTGATGAATCCCGCTTTCACACCATCTGGCAGTCCGAACGGACGTACATCCAATTGTGAGTGGTTTTGGAGGCTTATTTTGTAAATGACATCGCCGAAGTCAAGGATCGGTAGGATAGTCAGTTTTACGAGGGCATGTTTGGCAGCATGAGTGAAGGAGGCTTGTTGCGAAATAGGAAGCGATTCTAGATTTAACTTTGGATTGGAGATTCTTTATGTGAGTCTGGAAGTTGAGTTTACAGTCTAACCAGACACCTAGGTATTTGTAGTTGTCCACAATACTCTAGGTCAGACCCGTCGAGAGTGGTGATTCTAGTCGGGTGGGCGGGTGCCAGCAGCGTTCAATTGAAAAGCATGCATTTAGTTTTACTAGTGTTTAAGAGCAGTTGGAGGCTACTGAAGGAGTGTTGTATGGCATTGAAGCTCGTTTGGAGGTTTGTTAACACAGTGTCCAATGAAGGGCCAGATGTATACAAAATGGTGTCGTCTGCGTAAATGTGGATCTGAGAGTCACCAGCAGCAAGAGCGACATCATTGATATACACGGAGAAGAAAAGTGTCGGCCCAAGAATTGAACCCTGTGGCACCCCCATAGAGACTGCCATAGGTCCAGACAACAGGCCCTCCGATTTGACACACTGAACTCTATCTGAGAATTAGTTGGTGAACCAGGCGAGGCAGTCATTTGAGAAACCAAGGCTATTTAGTCTGCCAATAAGAATGTGGTGGTTGACAGAGTCGAAAGCCTTGGCCAGGTCGATGAAGACGGCTGCACAGTACTGTCTATTATCAATCGCGGTTATAATATCGTTTAGGACCTTGAGCGTGGCTGAAGTGCACCCATGACCAGCTCGGAAACCGGATTGCATAGCGGAGAAGGTACGGTGGTATTCGAAATGGTTGGTGATCCGTTTGTTAACTTGGCTTTCAAATACTTTCGAAAGGCAGGGCAGGATGGATATAGGTCTGTAGCAGTTTGGATCTAGAGTGTCACCCCCTTTGAAGAGGGGGATGACCGCGGCAGCTTTCCAATCTCTGGGGATCTCAGACGTTATGAAAGAGAGGTTGAACAGACTAGTAATAGGGGTTGCGACAATTTCGGCGGCTAGTTTTAGAAAGAAAGGGTCCAGATTGTCTAGCCCAGCTGATTTGTAGGGGTCCAGATTTTGCAGCGCTTTCAAAACATCAGCTGTCTGAATTTGTGTGAAGGAGAAGCGGGGGGGGGCATGGGCAAGTTGCAGCAGAGGGTGCAGAGTTGGTGGCCGGGGTAGTGGTAGCCAGATGGAAAGCATGGCCAGCTGTAGCAAAATGCTTGTTGAAATTCTCAATTATTGTAGATTTATCGGTGGTGGTGATAGTGTTTCCTAGCCTCAGTGCAGTGGGCAGCTGGGAGGAGGTGCTCTTATTCTCCATGGACTTTACAGTGTCCCAAAACTTTTTGGAGTTAGTGCTACAGGATGCAAATTTCTGTTTGAAAAAGTTAGCCTTTGCTTTCCTAACTGCTTGTGTATATTGGTTCCTAACTTCCCTGAAAAGTTGCATATCGCAGGGCCTGTTCGATGCTAATGCTGTACGCCACAGTATGTTTTTGTGCTGGTCAAGGGCAGTCAAGTCTGAGGAGAACCAGGGGCTATATCTGTTCTTAGTTCTGTATTTTTTGAATGGGGCATGTTTATTTAAGATTGAGAGGAAATTACTTTTAAGGAACAACCAGGCATCCTCTACTGACGGAATGAGATCTATATCCATCCAGGATACCTGGGCCAGGTCAATTAGGAAGGCCTGCTCGCTAAAGTGTTTTAGGGAGCGTTTTACAGTGATGAGGGGTGGTCGTTTGACCGCGGACCCGTTACGGACGCAGGCAATAAGGCAGTGATCGCTGAGATCCTGGTTGAAGACAGCTGAGGTGTATTTAGAGGGTATGTTAGTCAGGATGATATCTATGAGGGTACCCATGTTTACGGATTTAGGGTTGTACCTGGTAGGTTCGTTGATAATTTGCGTGAGGTTGAGGGCATCTAGTTTGGATTGTAGGATGGCTGGGGGATTAAGCATATCCCAATTTAGGTCACCAAGCAGTACGAACTCTGAGGATAAATGGGGGGCAATGGGGAGGGTAACTGGTCCTAGATCAGTGACTAAAGGCCAGTGGGTGGGCCCTGTAGTGTTAGGGGGAAGCCAGTGGGTGGGGCCTGTAGTGTTAGGGGGAAGCCAGTGGGTGGGGCCTGTAGTGTTAGGGGGAAGCCAGTGGGTGGGGCCTGTAGTGTTAGGGGGAAGCCAGTGGGTGGGGCCTGTAGTGTTAGGGGGAAGCCAGTGGGTGGGGCCTGTAGTGTTAGGGGGTTAGGGAAGGGTTTAAGTGCGGGGCACACAACCTCCCATGACACCCGGGAGGAAGGCTGGCTCCTTAATGACACTGTTGTCTTGACATTTTTCCACATTGTTTCGTTACAGCCTTATTCTAAAAATGGATTTAAATCCCCCCCTAAAATCGAGCACACTGCCATGCAACCACCATAGACAAACATTGGCAGTAGAATGGCCCGTACTGAAGAGCTCAGTGACTTTCAACGTGGCACCGTCATAGGATGTAACATTTCTGCCCTGCTAGAGCTGCCCCAGTCAACTATAAGTGCTGTTATTGTGAAGTGGAAATGTCTAGGAGCAACAACGGCTCAGCTGCGAAGTGGCAGGCCACACAAGCTCACAGAACGGGACCGCCGAGTGCTGAAGCGCGTAAAAATCGTCTGTCCTCGGTTGCAACACTCACTACCGAGTTCCAAACTGCCACTGGAAGCAACATCAGCACAATAACTGTTAGTCGGGAGCTTCATGAAATGGGTATCCATGGCCGAGCAGCCGCACACAAGCCTAAGATCACCATGCGCAATGCAAAGCGTTGGCTGGAGTGGTGTAAAGCTCGTCGCCATTGGACTCTGGAGCAGTGGAAACGCGTTCTCTGGAGTGATGAATCACGCTTCACCATCTGGCAGTCCGACGGACGTATCTGGGTTTGGGAATGTTGGGAATGCATACTTTTGGCCAAAACGTCATCATCCCTCAATAACTTAAAGACTGGGGGTCAGCCTTACGAACCAAACTACTCAGTAATCTCCTCCATGAAGACTGGGGGTCAGCCTGATGAACCAAACGACTCAGTAATCTCCTCCATGAAGACTGGGGGTCAGCCTGATGAACCAAACTACTCAGTAATCTCCTCCATGAAGAC